ATACTTTTGTTTGCAACATTTCAAAATTCTTATTTTGAAATGTTATCTTACAACAGGAACATTCAAAATAGAACAAAACTTTTTAAAATCTAAAGGAATGTTTTTTTAGAGATAACAGACAGCAATTGCAGAAAATTAATAAATAAGAAATCAAGCATTTTACAATTGTTCTCTAAAGCTATTTACAAATGCAATACTAAGTCATTTTTTATTTCTATCCTTAGTTGTTTTTATTTATATATTTTTATGTAATAATTTATTTCTCCTATTTACTTTTGTAAAAAGAACATTCTATTAAATTTTAAATGCTTTATTCCATTCTCAATATTCATGAAGTATGTTTGCAACATTGCAAGGCAAAAGTACTTGAAGCTTGATGAAATCTGTTTTTTTTTGTATTTGCGTGTTTTTAATACCTAATTCAAATTATTACAGTTCATTTAAATATGACAATTAATAATTATTATTTTTCATACTAGATGGTAAATATGTGTAGGAAAATTCTACTTTCACAAATATTTATCATCAATAAACTTTCTTGAATTATCAAGACACTAAAATTTTATAAATAATTAATTTTTGAAAAAATATATTGTTCTGTAAGTGAAAATGACTAATTTTTATATATACTTCAATGATTCTTACCATTTCAATGTTTTGTTGTATGTAACTGAATTGGAATAATAATTTTTACAAAAATTCAATATTTCTGTTGTTGAATAATTTCAAAATTCTTGTGGATCATGAAAACAACAGCTAATATCATTATGTTAGATATGTCTGAATTTATAAGATCTACCTAAAAATGGTTTAAGACAAATTTTATAAGAATACTGTACACAACTCTTTACTATACTATTTATGCTATGGCCTTTAATTCAGAAACAACTAAGTTTCAATAGTTTCTATTTAGCAACTGTTGAGTTCTGGCTTATTTTGTGATTAAACATACAATATTATAAAAATATTACAATATACTTTGTATATTGTAATATTTTTTTCAGATAATTAATCTCCTGGATCATTTAAACATTTTCTAAATTATAAAGTATTTATCCAAAAATATTTGCAATATTCCCACTATCAATTGCCATTTTTGCATTTTACAAAAGTTTTAAATAAATGATAAAAAAACAATAACAATGGCAGCATCAAGTAGCAAAAGTACATCTCACCACAGAGAAAAACTGCCCATGTGTTAGAACAATGGGGAAAATATATACATATACATACACAGTAGTGATGAAAGCTCGTCTTTGCACTGATCACAGGAGTATCAACTTTTATTTGCATAGATATAACAGACACAATTCTCTTGCCTTTCCTTCAAGTTCTTTCAAATGTTACTAAATTAATGTTATAATAGGTTTTGCCTGTTTTAAGAAGAAAATGGACACCACTATACCCAAGTTGTCTCTTATGGAAGTGCTTGCCATTATTACAACAAAATAAAGTTGTCCCTTCTTATTATACACATAAGAAAATTGCTTTGTTCCTGTATCATATAATTAACTTGCTAATTTGGGACATTATAATGTCCCAAATTAAAGAATAAAAAGCAATATTAAAAAGCATATATAAAAAAAGTAGATGCATCACACCTTCCTATAATCATGTACAGTATAAAATTATTGGCATAGAAATGATTATAAACACATACATATACATATAGGCCATACATAGTGGCCTATATATATATATATATACTAGCTGTACCCAGCCACATGTTGCTGTGGCTCAAAATGTATCTATTATAAATGTATAACACTCCCCGCGGGAGAGAATTTCAAAAAATCCCTTCTTAGTGTACATTTTCTTAACATACTCTATTAAAATGCAAAAAACTGCATCTAAAATAGTATAATAGAAGCAGAGTTCTTCACGATAAGCCTTAATTTTGTCTCTCTCCCCTGCGGGGGAGAATTTTGACATCTGTATAATATACAAGTTCAGACTCGTGCACTGTGTATCTTGCCGACCACATGACTGCGCAATGCAGTTACCTATCTCGTATACATATGTGTCTTGACCCTCATCACCCGCTGACACCAAAAATATAACGTTTACCAAGATGATATCTTTTAATTTATATGTTTAATGGAATAATATACAGCCTATATCCACCCTGAAGGTCCATTCTAAATATTGGTGAAAGAATTTTTGAAATAAAATGAGTAGTTTCAGAGATTACCTCATACATCCAAACTTACAAACTTTACCTCTATAATATTAGTACAGAAGTATAGATAAATGTATATATATGTGTGTGTGTGTGTTTCCAGATGAAAAACTGATTCAATTCATCAATCAGTATGTAAAACAATAATTACTGTCATATTCATAATTAATATTTATTAAAAAAATTTTGAATGATCCTGTACTTTGTTTCCAAAAGATATCAAAATGAAGGAATAGTTCAACACTCTAGGAAAGATTAGATACTTATGCTGCAATACACATAATTATTGACCTCTATTGACATTTCTGATCATTAAAAATACAATATTCATGAAAAGAATAGCTTCAACATACTATATATGCATGCATATGGTGGTGTAGTGATTGTTTCTCTCCTTTAAAGAAACTTTTTGAAGAAAATAGAAAAAACACAAACTTAGTTTTGACCTACTCTACCACATATCTTTTCAAAATCATTTGATCACATTTCATAAAATGTTATTCTAAATCTGTCAGTAAGTATTATGTTTTGTTGGCCCAGCTGGCAGAGCATTCAACTGCATTCTTAAAGATTAATGGTTTAAATCATTATTTAACTTTGGCATTCTTCCATTTTATGTGATTTATGGTTATTTGGAATAAGTAAAGAAATCTTATCTACATCATTCAGATAATTATAAATGAAAACTTATTTAAAATTTTGAAATGAAATTCTTCATAAACATATATAAAAAGATAAATTATTTAACTCTAGTAACAGTATAGAATTAGACATTCAATGTACTCTTTGTATGTATACAAAAATAAACATTAGAATGTCTCAAAGTTAACATTAAATTTTAAATATGAATTACAAAACTTTACTTAATTTCTCGAAAAACTTCAATAAGATGTAATCTATATATATATATATATATAAAAATGAATGTATGTGTCTGTCCTTCATGCATTACCACACTGTTTATCTGATTGCCATGAAACTTTGGGAAGCTGTTTAATATACTCCCGCAAAGGTTTCTGGCATAGTACGATTGCCATTAAGCTTTAGGAAGTTTTTTAATGCAAAGGTTTCTTGCATAGTACATTTATCCTACGATAGATGGCGTGAGTGTATACGAGAATTTCACTGTGTGTTCAATCGATTTCAAATTGTTAAGACCATTTCCCCACCTCAAAAAAAATCTCTCTATATATGCATTTGTGAACTGTTATTTACGATATTTGTAATAATTTCTGTTTAATCACTTTATTTCAACTTTTTTTTTTGCTAATTACGTATTCGCTCAAACTCTGTTAAAACCTTAACTGTATCCCGAACAACAACCGAAGTTGTAGGAGGAAATTCGCCTATTTTACCGATCTAGGTATCCCCCCCTTTTTCAAATTTTAATATCAACTCAAAATAATTTAAAAAGACAAATTACAATAAAACGGTTTATCCAACTATCAGAAATTTCACAACATGCAAGGAAGAGAGGAAGGAGCAATTAAATAATCAAAATTATAAAGGATTAAAAAATATATATATAAAAATGGGGAATATCGCACTTCTAACAATCTCTGCGAGTATGTGGGCTAAATTTAAAGAATCCATGCTTCTCACATGTACAACTGTATGTGGTCAGCTCACGCTTCGGAAAACCTTCTGATTTATTCATGCACGCACCAGACGGAAAAACAAAAAANATTGTGAGATAATGCAGGTTTCGATAGCGCGATTTCCTATAATGCATAACGAATTCCCCGCGTTGTACGGGACTCTACTGTACACATACAATTCCACATTATCATTGTAATAGATAATACTTTCACATCTAAACAATACTACTATGAAAAAATATATGTACTTTTTTATAATCCAATTTATTTGTTATTGACAAGGTCTTCACTATTTAAGGCAGGATTCTCAACCTTTTTCATATATGGCCTCCTTTTAAGAAAAATATTTTTTCTGTTGACTCCCTTCAATATTATACACTATATATATTATCCAATATTATATTATATATAATATCTATGCCAAAGCCTCTTAATTTTTAAAAGACAACTTCCTACATTTATTAAGAGCAAAAAAATAATAATATGTAAAGTTTTAAATATTTTAAAATAATTGTTTTATACTTGCAAAGTTTTAGCAACCCCCTCAAACTTTCATCGACGCTATCGGGGAAACCTCAATTTAAAGAATCTACAGTAACATGTAAAGCAGCTTTCTCGTATTTATTCTCCAAGTTTTTCTTAAGCCAATATTTAAAATTAAAAATTTGTAGGCTAATACAGAAATAGCTTTTTGTTAATATCTCTATTGCTTACTTATATATGTAATCAATAAAGTCGGATTATGTAGCAATATATCAATTATCATATTAATTTATTTAAAAATTAATAAATTTACCAAAAATATAATAATTTATTCATTACCTTACATTTCCTTGTTTTTTAAATAATTTAAATAAATAAAATTTTCTTTATTTTTTCTATTATTTAAAGATTTAAAGAATCTAGAAGTCAAACATTCTTTTAAGTGTATACAAGACACATATTGAATCACCTCGCGAGAACTAATATATAAAACACTTGGAAGTATTTTTTAAAAAATACTTTAAAATGCTTCATATTTTATAAAAACAAAAAGACTTTTACATAATATTTTACTTAAAATCTCAGTTATTTGACATAAATACGAATTCACAAATGCCAAAATTAAATATTTTACATTTAACACTTAATTCAGTAAGGTAGTAAGTAGCACGTTGACAAACTTAACCCTAATCATGGTTGTACAATATTGCATATTAAACTGGATTTTTGTAAAAACAAACCTTCGTCTGATATGTCTTCAACGAATCCTTCCGGATCACCAAAATCGGGTTCGTCTTCGAAACCATTCTCCAATACATCGTCATTTACGTGTTCGATATTGTTTTCGTCCTCCTTTTGAATACCGTCCTTCTCGGCAGCCATCTTGAAAAATACATACATTTTATAGAGAATAAATATAGTGTTTAATACTACAAACAATAAGAAATTAATACAAGTAAAACGACAAAACTGTATTTGGGACAAGACTATGTCTTGGAGACTTACTACTAAGTTGAATCACTTTGACACTCAAGGAGGGTCTTGTTATCATTCTCCAATCTTCTTTGGTATCTCTGCTTTTGGGCGCGATCGTTCAAACTTTGCCAGCCACGACCACGACATCATCCACGATGCACTTTCAATGAAATTAACCCATCCAATTTTGAAATTTCTCTCCGTTGCATGTTGGCCCGGGTTGAATTTTTGTCGATGCGTAANCTTCTTTGGTATCTCTGCTTTTGGGCGCGATCGTTCAAACTTTGCCAGCCACGACCACGACATCATCCACGATGCACTTTCAATGAAATTAACCCATCCAATTTTGAAATTTCTCTCCGTTGCATGTTGGCCCGGGTTGAATTTTTGTCGATGCGTAACGAAAATTTCCCGTTTTTTAAAAAAATAATCGTGGCTATTGTATCGTCCTAAATTATTTTTTTATTTTGCACAAACAATATACAGTTTAACCCAATTATAACATCATCGAATGTAACGACAACCCAAATATAATGTCAAATTTTTATTGGTCCCACGATTTTACTATACTAGATAATGTTAAAAAACCTACTTGTAATGACACCCTGTTTTAATGTCATATTCAAAGCACTCCCAAATTTACAAAATTAGATTAATTTTATGTAACAAAGAAAATACTACATATTCAGTCCTAGGGTCAGAGTCCACTTCCTAGAACGACTGTGGGTAGTACTCTCACCACCTGACTTCGGTTTTCCTGTTTGTAGAGAGAATCACTATTTTGTATTTTATTTTGACTCAGTTCTTGGTCCCTTGAGTACTTATAAGTCTGGCTTTTTTTATGCGTGCATGATTTGGGCACCTAATACTCTGTGCCAAATTGCAACTCCTGACATGGACACACCAATCTGAGGCAAGCGACAAAAACCAAAACAAATTTTTCACAGAAAAAACAAAAACTGAAACCGATGATAATCAAAGTTAATGAAAACTAAGGTATTACTGTATAAAAACGTTACATAATCTGAACTAAAGGTAGGCAATAAAGTTATTATGTCGTTGGTGCACAAGAATAGTGACACAACTCAAAAAAATAGTTTTATTCTTGTGCACCAACGATATATCAAATTTAATAATTGGAATTAAATAAATAATTCAGAATAATCTGAAAAAAAAAATTTCTCCAGAGTGGACTTGAACCTGCAAATTCTGGTTACCATGCAACATAGCAGCTGAATTTCTTTTCTAGTCAATGAACAATAACACAAGTTAAAGTAAAACATATTTAAGATAAAATCATTTATCTCTTCCTCTGTTATTTCATTATTTTTGTCAATTCTTCCACAAATAAACAAATTTTAGCTTCATAAATAAGAAAATCAGTTACAAATACCAAATTGCAAGTATGTGAAATGCACAAATAATGTACATTACTTTATTATTATACATAAACATATATAAAAAATAAATTTGTTTAATATTTCTCAATAAAAAATGTTCTCAATATATGGTTTCTATAAAGTTTATATTGTATTTTACAACATACCATTTTATAATTCAAACAATTATGAATCTTCACCAGAAAACATCAAACCATACTTTGTTAAAAAATAAAAAGCAGAATTTTAAATATTTACTTTTAGTATAATTAAGAATAAGTAGCACATAAATAAGAATTTTCAGTTATAATATATCCCATTTCAAATTTTATGATGATGATTATATTGTGGAGAAGTATTAGGAAAGATGCATGATTTAGATAATTTTCTTAGCTTTATACTTGCTAATAGTAGTTTGCATATATAACAAATAAATGGAAAACCAAAGAGGTAAACTTCTTTTCAAAATCCTGTTGCATTTCAATCTTTTAATCTAAGAAAATGCTAACTACAAACTCTAGCACATCTTAAAGACCAACTTTTTTCTGTCTATAACTTCACTAATAAATTTTAATTCTGAATCCAAAAAAAAATTAATTGATAATTATAGCTCACTTCTTTCATCTTGTTTACAAACATAAATGCAACATAGATGTATTGATAATTTTTCAAATACAGTAGAGTTCTGTACAATGCACAAATAAAGCAAGCAACACCCTCAAATTTTGTCAATCAGAGGGTATACGTTTTTTTTCAACTTATAGGCCAAGGTTTAAACTTTCATAAATTGTGAGATAATGCAGGTTTCGATAGCGCGATTTCCTATAATGCATAACGAATTCCCCGCGTTGTACGGGACTCTACTGTACACATACAATTCCACATTATCATTGTAATAGATAATACTTTCACATCTAAACAATACTACTATGAAAAAATATATGTACTTTTTTATAATCCAATTTATTTGTTATTGACAAGGTCTTCACTATTTAAGGCAGGATTCTCAACCTTTTTCATATATGGCCTCCTTTTAAGAAAAATATTTTTTCTGTTGACTCCCTTCAATATTATACACTATATATATTATCCAATATTATATTATATATAATATCTATGCCAAAGCCTCTTAATTTTTAAAAGACAACTTCCTACATTTATTAAGAGCAAAAAAATAATAATATGTAAAGTTTTAAATATTTTAAAATAATTGTTTTATACTTGCAAAGTTTTAGCAACCCCCTCAAACTTTCATTGACACTATCGGGGAAACCTCAATTTAAAGAATCTACAGTAACATGTAAAGCAGCTTTCTCGTATTTATTCTCCAAGTTTTTCTTAAGCCAATATTTAAAATTAAAAATTTGTAGGCTAATACAGAAATAGCTTTTTGTTAATATCTCTATTGCTTACTTATATATGTAATCAATAAAGTCGGATTATGTAGCAATATATCAATTATCATATTAATTTATTTAAAAATTAATAAATTTACCAAAAATATAATAATTTATTCATTACCTTACATTTCCTTGTTTTTTAAATAATTTAAATAAATAAAATTTTCTTTATTTTTTCTATTATTTAAAGATTTAAAGAATCTAGAAGTCAAACATTCTTTTAAGTGTATACAAGACACATATTGAATCACCTCGCGAGAACTAATATATAAAACACTTGGAAGTATTTTTTAAAAAATACTTTAAAATGCTTCATATTTTATAAAAACAAAAAGACTTTTACATAATATTTTACTTAAAATCTCAGTTATTTGACATAAATACGAATTCACAAATGCCAAAATTAAATATTTTACATTTAACACTTAATTCAGTAAAGTAGTAAGTAGCACGTTGACAAACTTAACCCTAATCATGGTTGTACAATATTGCATATTAAACTGGATTTTTGTAAAAACAAACCTTCGTCTGATATGTCTTCAACGAATCCTTCCGGATCACCAAAATCGGGTTCGTCTTCGAAACCATTCTCCAATACATCGTCATTTACGTGTTCGATATTGTTTTCGTCCTCCTTTTGAATACCGTCCTTCTCGGCAGCCATCTTGAAAAATACATGCGACACATGTCTACTATGATGTCACACATAAAAATTATTAAGATATTTTATAAAGTAAAATAAAGGTTAAGCTGAAATTTGTTATATTTATAAATATATTTAATAAATTTTTTAAAATTAATTTATGATCGCGGTAAATTTATTTTATATTTTACTGTTTCAGAATTTTTTTTTTTTTTTTAACTTCTTCCGACATGGGAGCGCTAATATGACCGTTTTAGCAAGCCCATTATGGATTTGGTCAGGCCCACGATGGGTGGCTGGGTGTGAAGGACGGAGCCTGACATACACTGAGTATACGGGACAGATCGCCCATGGAAAATCTTTCAGGTTATCCGACTGAATTCGATTCCTCCCAACCGGTGGCCGATCGTGGGTTTCCGATCGGCCTAACGGTCTAATTCAAGTTTTAAGTCAGCAACACCTAAATAGGGGCCAGTTAGATCTCCCGGGAGGCATTTCCCACTATGTAGATAGTCTGTATGTCTGGTTGCCGTGTACGAATAAAACTAGAAATCAAATTTGATTCCAGATTCACTGAGCGATGGGATAAGCCTTAATTGCCTTTCCCTCTTACCAAACAGTCAAAATACACAATTTTAAACCCAATACTGTGTCCAATATTTACTTTATGATTATAAATTTATAGAGTAGACATAATTGGATAAGTTTGAAAAATATATATATGTATATACCTATATATATTGAGCTATTTTTCGGCCGAAGTGCGCAAGTACGCCGGGCCGGCAGGTAGTCATAACAAATATCAGCCGCTGAGTAGTTTTTTTTTTATACTCTTTCTGCCCACAGGGCAGAAAGAGTATAAAAAAGGCCGGTGAGAGCCGGCCGACCTTATATGTCGGCCCCGGCTCTCACCACCATACTCTATTTCGAAACCAATCATCCTAGAATGGTTATTAAATCTTGTGACCACTTTACTAGAAAGTTAAAAGAGTTAAATCAAGAAAAACGTAGTTTTTGTAAGCAGGAATCAATGCAAAGAAATGCTTTGCTAGCATCTTACAAGGTGGCACATAGAGTTGCAAAATGTAAAGAGCCTCATATTATCGCAGAAGAACTCATTTTACCGGCTGCCGTAGTTAAAAGGTGAATACTGTATTATGATCGCTATTATATGGTGAACATTATGATCGCTGAGTCTGCTGGGAAGCAGCTTTCAAAAGTGTCTTTGTCCAATAACACCACCAGTCGCAGAATACAGCACATATTGCAACGGACCTCCAATGTTCAGTTAATTGAAAAAAATAAAAGGGAATGAATTTGAGTTGTAACTGGATGAAGCCACGGATAATAATAATGATACTCACTTGATTTGCAATGTACAGTACTGTACAGTCAGTGGTGATATTCGAAATATTTAACAAAGGGTTCGCTGACAGAAAATTTTTTTTACACACCTTAAACCCCAATCCCGAGAAATCTCGGGAAAGTTAC